TTGAGTAGAGCTGAAACAACTTTACTCAAATGAGCAGGGCTTTTAAAACTGCTTGCCATATGTACCATCGTGCCTTGGAGTAGAAATTACTAGTCAAATATTTGGGTGCCAGGCTCATTGATCCCACTAAGAAGTTTACAACCTTAAAAATGATTATTTGAGCGCTGATGTAAGATTTAAGCAGCTTGAATAATATTAGTAGCACCCACTACCACATCCTTTACCCAAAATACTTTCTCTTTTGAATTATTATTCTGTTTATTTTTATGCGGTTATAGATCCAATCAAATATTCAGCACGATTATGAAGTAGGAAATTACGGAACACAAATCACGCTTAGACATGGCCAATAATGACGTGCTTACTAAATTATTAAAAACATAAGCCATATAAGGATGTTTGGCTTTTATTACATGCATACTTACACAGCCTATCTTAAAACAACTGAACATGGGAATTAAATGGCATAGCTAGACATTAAATTGAAGAGAACCAAAAAGCAAAAAAGGAAAAATACTAAAAAATATTGGTATCAAAAACGATCCATCCTAAATAAAAAGGGTAACAGGAGAGCATTTGGTATTAATCGTCAATTACTTATATGCTAAACGATTAGTGCATTTGCAAAATCATAAACAGATTAAAGACTAAATTCAGATGTCAGATTTGTCATTAATCTTTCTTTGGTACAAACACAAAATTTTCATACCAACTGGCTATACAATAATAGTGGCAATTAAATTAAGAGTGTTGAGTTACAAACAAAACTTAAGAGCTTACGATTTTTTTAGAGAAAATGTGACTTGCTCCATTTTATACGAACACATTCCACCATATAACTGAAAACCGAAAGATACAAAAGCTAAACATTAAACATCATCATGGACTAAGGCCGACAAATGGAGAAAAACCTACAGGGATGGTATACTAACATGTGGCGTTGTAGTGCGTCCCACGTAGCAACATCTAAGTAGCATTCTGTACAGTATAGGCGTATTCCTGAATCCCTCGTATTTTGAACTGCAGCATAATCCAATAGAAGACGATGTGGGAGGTGTTTATATAGAAAGCCGAAATTATTGCAGACCAAAAGGGCAATTGTGACGTAGCTGTATTTACACCTACAAGCACTTACAAATGTGTCTTCGAATAAAGTGACGGAGAAGTCGTTCAAACCAGTGGAATTGTCTTGGGCACTGGCAGCAAGCATTATGGTTGGACACTATTTTTAAGCATTAAAGTAAAATTTTAATGTTAATTTTAACATTAGCACAAAAAAAGGTTAACAAAAATGGTTTTCAGATTTACTTTTTTGGTGCAACAAAACGAAACCGGTGGTTGCGAATTCCCTCTGACAAACCGGGCAGTATTCACGCATGTATGCTGGACTTTGAAAAGTACGTCTTAAATGTGTTGCCATAACTTTCTTTTGTCTTTAAATGCAGTGCTGAAAGAAGCAATT